ACGTCTTCCACAACTAGACTGAAGAACAAAAGGACAGCAACTTGTCTGTTCCCCTTTCCTGATTCCCCAACACTGTTCCCCTCCACTAACTCCCCAATAAAATCTTTAAAAAAAAAAATAAAAGGAAAAAAGCTATTAGTATGAATTGAAAGCCATGAAAGTGACTATCCAAGAATATACGTTAACAAGAATGGTTTAATTTTTACTAGTGGAGAAATGAAAGATAAAAAATTGAATTACTTCCATAAACCACATACTGAATCAACACAAATATTAAACTTCAAATCTTCAAATAACAGACCAATGTTTAATAGCCTAAAATGTGATTAGGAGTATGTGCAGTCAGATTTTTTGCCCATATGTCACTAACTACAATTAGACTGGGTCTTTGAGGGTCAGAGTCCTTGGCTGGCCTGGAGAGAAACAGCCAAACAGAGAGAAAAAGAAAGAATCTGAGAGAAGGAAGAAAGACAGTGAGAATGAAGGGAAGTGCAAAGATAAGACAAGAAAGAAAGAACAAACAAGGTTCACCTGAAAGGGAAATGCTGAGATGAGATCAAAACCACTTTGTAACTTGAACTGTAAAACTGTCACCTCATGTTGTAGAAGCTACTAACACTGAGGAATAAAAGAAAATCAACTAGTGTAGGAAAGTTTGGACATTCATTGAAAACATCCTCAAATTCTCATTATTTCCTAATCTACTTATTTTTGTTCATTTTTCCCACCAATGTTCAAAGTTTTCTTATCTTACTAGGACGGGGGTGGGAGAGATTGAATGACTCACATCATAATCACAAGAAGTTGTAGACAATAGAACAAAGCAGCATGGTGGAAGCCCTTCCACTTGAGTCATTTTAAGTGGACAAAGATGTAAAAGTTGGACACAGCAGGTCCCTCAGTAAGTTTTTACAATAACGTGAGGCCCTCAGTGGGTCTTTTCCATCTTTCACTTCTAGGAATGAACACATTTTTCACATGACAATAAATCAATTCTGGGTGCAGCAAGCATGCCCCACAATACCTAAGTACAACACAAGGAACCCTATTATAAATCACCCCATTTCCTCAGGGAATATCATGGAATTATTAAAGGCTTCTACTAAGAGAGGCAACCACAGAAGAAGCACGTCTCAATTCCCATAAAATATATTTGGCTTT